TGGCGGTGAAGAGCTGACAAGGTGCATGCATCAGCTACTTTGCAGAATATGTCCGACGATTGGAATTTAAGTGTCCTATGCCCAATTAATAAAAAGGGGACCCCACAGTCTGCGCCAATTATGGTGGGATAAGTTTCCTCAATATCGCGTATAAGGTCCTGGCAAGCGCATTGTGTGAGAGACTAAAAACCCCCGTCAACAAACTGATTGGACTTTATCAGTGTGGCTTTAGACCTGGTAAGTCAACCATTGTCCATGCGCCAAATCTTGGAAAATCCGTGAAAATATGATCGACACTCTCCACCTCTTCGCCGATTTTAAAGCCGCCTTCGACAGCACGAATAGGAGCTGCCCTTACGCTATGTCTGAATTTGGTATCCCCAAGCTTGAAAAAGAAGCGAAGCGAATGTGTCTGATAGTGAACGAGGACAAGATAAAATTCCTCCTGTCATCTAAACAGTCATCGCTCGCGCGACTCGGCTTTCACGTCACTGTTAACAGTCATAACTTCGAGGTGGTAGACAATTTCGTCTATCTAGGGGCCAGCATTAACACCAATAATAATGTCAGCCTGGAAATCCAACGTAAAATCACTCTGGCCAACAGGTGCTTCTTTGGACTGAGTGGTAATTGAAAAATAAAGTCCCCTTCCGGCAAACGAAAACCAAACTCTACAAGTCCCTCATCGTTTCCACCCTGCTATTTGGTGCGGGGGCATGAACGAAGACAACAGCTCATAAGTCGGCGTTAGGAGTTTTCGAGAGAAAAGTTTTGCCTAAGATTTATGGTCCTCTAAGAGTTGGCAACTGCGAATATCGCAGACAATGGAAGAACGATGAGCTCTATGAGTTATACGGCGACATTGAATCAAGAAGCAGCGGCTACGCTGGCTAGGTCATGTGGTCCGGATGGATGGAAAAGAAGAAACGAATGGCGCAATGTTGTTAAATCGCGTAAGCGGTGTCTACGCTAGTAAAGTAAGTGAATAAGTTTATTAATATTTCCATTATCAGCAACCGTCATAATGGAACGTTTTAATTCAAAAGAATCTGCAAGGTTGAACACATTTGAGAGCATAGTTCTTAAATTTTGCAATTCAATAACATCAGATATAATTTTGTTTAAAGTTTGATACATTCCCGTTGTTAAGTCAATTCATTTTTTGATACATTTTTCTAAAATATTATTATTACTAAAAGTTGAAGCTATTTAAGGTACTTGAGGTTTATTAATTAAATTAATTAAATTATCAGCCAAAACAATAATTTCATTTTTATTTTGATTACTAGAAGAAGTTATATGAATTTGAATTTGAAATTGTTGTGGTAGTTTACGAATCCATAATTAAAAAATAATTCGTAACTAGCAATTGAATCTGAACCAGTTAACGAGGTAACCAGGTTCTGAAAGTGGAGTTCAGTATTTGAAAATAATTTTTCTCAATCTCTTTTCTTCACTAAGAAAAAATCTCTCACAAAGAACTTTCTTAATTATTTCGTATTTATTCGAAAACGGAGGTGCATTAATTTTTGAAATAGTTTCCCGTTGAAGGAAAATCAATATATTTTGAAATTTAATTAATAATGTTGTTAATTTTAAATTGTCCCTCAGCAAGCAACAACCATGTTTCAGGACATTCATTCCAAAAAGGAGGTAATTTAATTGATTTGGAATTCAGTATAAAATTGTCTTCAAGATGTGTTAAATTTAGTGTTGAATTTCAATCTGTATTAGAGTTGGTCATAACATTTTGTGTTTCTGTGGTTGTAAAATTACGTGTTTACAGATTACAAATGTTCAAAGAAATTTATGTAATTAACTATAAATGAAAATAAGTATCTCAACTAATTGATTTTATATAGAAATGTATGTTAAGAGGCAAAAAAGTTTGTTGTTGAGTTCGTAGATATTGTTCTTGATGTTGAAATAAATGTTCTGCTGCAGATCGATTATTGTTTATTTCTTCTTTTGTAATTGTTGATTGATGTTGTTAAAAACGTATATACAGATATTCATATTGTTGCGAAAATGCGAAGCGAATGTCAGATGAAAGAGAAAAGCCAATAACTAGTACATTCTAGAAACGATAAAACAAGAACCTTCGATAGCGAACAACTCGATGCTTCCACGCTTTCGTCTGCGAGCAGCTGACTGCTATATAAGGGCGACATTCAGCGGCCAAAAGTTAGTTACAAAGTGAACTCGTTGGCGTTAACATCAGTAAAGTCGTAAAGTAAACGCGTAGTAAACGAAAGTAGAGTAAATTGTGAAAGTTGATGATAGTGATTGTAGCTAGTAAAGTGCCTTGTAATTGTATTGTGAATTACGGAGTAAATAAAGGATATTAGATAAATTCTTTGTATCGAAAGAAACTACAAATTAAGTTGGCGAATTTTTATTTAACAATCCAGAGATCGTACCCGAAGGATTCAGGAAATAATCGAGGGTGATTTAGCAAAATCGTAACAATATGTATATTTTAAAAGTTAATTAATGAATTCAAAATTTCATTGTTTGTATTCTAAAGTATATAGCGAAAGTTAGATATATATAAGCATGATCGTCAATTATATAGACAAATGTATCTATATATTTATGTGTGTTAATGAAAACTTTTGTATTTGATTTATTTTTTATAAAATCTATTTAACATTACTTGTTTATTTGAAAATGTAAATTATTTGATATCGAAAATTCAGTAACATAAAACTGAAAAGTTGAAAATAACGAGTTACAAATGTTTAGGTAGATTCCTACGGTTTCGCTACTCACTATCAAGTTAACTACCATGCATTATGGTAGTATGGTGAGTAATATGGTTATGACATGATTTTTTAAATAATTTCCAGCTTTTTGATATTTGGGCCGCTGAAAATTCTAAAATATACAGCGAAACGTTGGGCAAAGCCTTATTAATGAATAAAATTTCTAAAATTTTGAACTGATCGCTTAACAAAAATTAATAAAATAAGTAATAATATGTACATCGTATTTGTTAATATTTTAACATTTTTTAAGACAATATATACACAATATTAGACTTAATAACTGATACAGAGCTCAATAGGAACCCAAAAATAGACGCTGTACTGCTGCCACGATTCCGACTGTTCTGCTTATCTGAAATTAAGAAAAAAAACCTCCTTTTGATTGATAGACCTCAATCAGAATTCCAAAATTTCTAATTTTTTACGCTTTAGAAAAAGTTCAATTTTTCGCATTTCGGGGTATATTTAGCTATTAAAAAGTTACGAAGCGATCTTAAATATCTTTTTTTAGCAACTGATAGCTATTTTTGTTAAAGATACATTGAAAATTTCAACAAAATCAGTAAGTTTTTGAAATTTTATAGCAGCATTTTTTAAAAATCTTGTTTCGAGAAAACGCGTTGGAAAGTAATTGTATATAATTCACAATTAAAAAAGTTTTTCACCATCAATCTGCTATGCCAGGTCCACACATGTACATATATAATACAGCTTCCCCTTCGTCAAATAAGTCATGTAAAGCCACTTTTGCTTCTCCCTTTGAAATACAAGATTGATTTACGAAATAACTCAAGCGTCTAGCCCTGCGATCGATACGTGAACTGTCACACTGTTGAGCGAGGAAAATACTATAAGCGCTGGGTGGATGCTCCGTTGATGTTTTAGACAATGCCTCATCATGGCGATAAATTACAAGTTAAATAAAAAAATTCAGTCAATGCGGCTGAAATATTTAGATATATTATGGTGTAAACAGGTATTTCATTTTAATCCAAAACGAAATGCCGTTAATATTAAATTGTTAACACATAATGTTAAAGGTTAAGATCGAAGTGTGCTTTAACGATAGGGTTGTGACCGCAAAACTGCATATTTAATATTTTTCCTTAACAGTATTTAAATGAAATGGGTTTGATAGTGCTTAGTATAAAGAAAAAATATATCTTCAAAGGTAATTAAAAAATTGAAAACCTAATTGGCCTTGGAATTGGAACCCAAAAATAGACGCTGTACTGCTGCCACGATTCCGACTGTTCTGCTTATCTGAAATTAAGAAAAAAAAACTTTCTTTTAATTGATAGACCTCAATCAGAATTCCAAAATTTCTAATTTTTTACGCTTTAGAAAAAGTTCAATTTTTCGCATTTCTTCGGGGTATATTTAGCTATTAAAAAGTTACGAAGCGATCTTAAATATTTTTTTTATCAACTGATAGCTATTTTTGTTAAAGATACATTGAAAATTTCAACAAAATCAGTTAGTTTTTGAAATTTTATAGCAGCATTTTTCACATATGAAAGCTGAGTATAATTCTCTCTTTGGGATAGCAAGACACCTTACTCTTTCAATTTCGTTGCTGCCTAATTATTACCGACATTTGTTAATAACAACCTAGTAATAACATTCGCAAATGTTTTAATGTTCTTTTTACCACATAACGTCATCCACAATAATAATTAGGCTAACTAAATTCTACACAACTACACTTGAAATACAATTACAATTATTTAAGGCCGGTACAACGTGATGAGGACAATACAACAAATAAAGCAGCGTTTTCTATCATAAACCTAAATATTTTAAAAGCCATTAAAGCCATCTATAAGTAACTTGTAGAAGCCACGTTAAGGTTTAGTGTCATAACCGCAAATGCTGAATTTTAGTTGCACATGCGTTAAGAGTAGTAAAGTTTATAATTCAAACATGCATACATATATGCTAAAAATTAAAAAAACTTATTATGGAAATATGTGCATTTACTTTAAGCTATGTGAAGGCCAATTAGGTTTTCAATTTTTTCATTACCTTTGAAGATATATTTTTTCTTTATACTAAGCACTATCAAACCCATTTCATTTAAATACTGTTAAGGAAAAATATTAAATATGAAAGCTATTTCAGAACTTCTTAATTCATTTATAATTTTTCATATTTAAATTTATTTAAACATATATTTACAAATTATATGATTTATGTAACTTATCTTTTTAACGTATATATAATCAAACAAACTTCCTTCTAAATTTTTTATTATAATTTACAAATTTCTCTTAATTGCTACTGTTGTTCGTTTGCTAAAAAGCATGGTAAGCATGTGTATCTTATATTGAATTCTCTAATTTGTGTTTAACGTTTTTCATAATTTATGATTGGAAGTAAGCCATGTTAAACCTTCATAAAGACCATCTCCAGTTGTAGCACACGATGGCTGAACATACCAATTGCGGTCTCTTATTCTAGTTAATCCTAATTTCTCCTGAATTTCGTGAGGTTTCATTGCTGTAATATAAAAAAAGTTTAAAGAGTAATTTAAGAGCTATTTAATTAAAAATATATGCATATATTTCAAAAACAAACTTTACATGAAAATAACAAATAGTTCATAAGAGAAATTAAAAGTATGGTTTATATTTTGGTCTGCTGCCTTTGATGTATTTATAAGTAAGTGAGCAATATGTTGCCCAACCTCTTTATGCATCCTAATGGAATAATTAACGTTAATTTATCCCTTTCCTGTTATCGGATATTTGGTGCTTTCTGCTTAGATAACATGCTAAATGAACGAATGTTAAAACAGTTTAATGGAAAGCAACTTAGCAGAGCAGAATTGGGTATAAGTAACTGGTCAAGAGTATCTTAAACCAAGAGTCCCTGTGGGTTAGGGAGCTCAAGAATTTACGAGTGGTAAGGCATGCCCGTCGTAACCCGCAAAAACAAGTTCGGGGAATATTTTGCGGTTACAACAACATGTTCAACCAATAAGTACACTTTTCGTCCTTTTCGTCAGCAAACCATTTTTAAAATTCCAGGACCACAGTCATTTATTCAAAGACTTAAAAGACTTCCGAGATACTGAACGCTCTCTTGTGGAGATAAGTTATGTGAAAATAATCATAAATAATTCTTATTCTTCTTTATTGCCGAATCAGCGCACCATTTATTCCTTCTTTTCGCTGTTTGGCGCCAGTTGAAAATAAAAAGCGACATCATGTCGCGTTCCCGTGATCCTTCCAACGGAGTGGAGGCGTTCCTCTTCGTCTGTTTCCACCAACTGGTACATCATAGAATACATTCATAGCTGGTTTGCTATAATCCATTCGGACGAGAAGCCGCTGAGACTTCGCTAAACTATGTCAATGTCATCGTATAATCGTACAGCTCATCGTTCCATCGGCTGCGGTATTCCCCGTTCCCAACACGTAGAGGACCATAAATCGTTCGCAAAAGTTTTCTCTCGAAAGCTCACTCATCAGATTTTGGCAACGGTTTTCGTTCGCCGAGTCAGGACTTTACTTTACAATTGCCTACTCAGTACAAAGTAGCAGTTGTTGGCAAGTCATTTTGTGTTCGATTTCAAGGCTAGCAGTTTTATTGGTGTTAATGCTAGTCCCTATATAGACGAAATTATCTACGACTTCGGAGTTATGACTGTCAACAGTGACGTGGGAGCAAATGCGTAGAATCTTTATTTGATGACAGGAGATATTTCGTCAAGTCTGGAGAGGGGGGTTAGATGAGTTGGTTTGAGAGAGCATGGGAAGAGGTGGTTAGTGTCGTGCGGAGACTTTCCACACGCAAGGCATACGTTGGATATGCTGGGGTCTTCTGGATAAGTGGGTGTTTAACCTGCAACAGTATCTAGACCTGAGTTCTGCAATATTACTTAAGTTCCAATTGTTGGGCATGTTTTCATCCGACCGTATTATGCAAAGAAGCAAACGCATGCATCTTGTCGCCGCCATGTTTGAATAGCTCTGCCATTAATTTTCGCTGCCATTCAACATGGTGGAGAAGTGTTCCCTCCCTTGTGGGTCAGTTTCTCAAACTCTTCATACTAACGCATTTCGCTCTCTTTCTTTTTATCCTTGCAAACGCGTCTTTTTCCCTCTTCACTGCAGTTCAACATTCCTCTTCGTACCAGCTCATTTTCTGGTACTACCGAACACCAATGGTTTCCGTGGTGGCGATATGTAGGGAGTTTGAAATGCCGTCCCACAGTTCCCTTATAACAGGTTGCTGAAGAGTGCTCTCAAAAAGCAGATGAGCAAGCCGAGTAGAAAATCATTCGGCTGTTTTTTTTATTATTTAGCTTACCGACATCGAACCTTCCGTTTTGTTTTACTGTTTATTTTGTTCTGTTGGATGAAAACTCAATAAAATTATTTCTAAGAGAGAGTACTTACTCTCTAAATTTCGTTACTGGCTAATTCTTACTGTACTTCCTCGCCGAAAAGAGATATATTTAGGTTAGACGCAAAGGCAATACATATTTCAGAGTATGAAGTTCTTATTTGAATCAATGTTTTTTCTAAAATTTTCTACACTAGATAAAAACAAAATAATGCTTACCATCCGCAAGATCCTGCTTATTAGCAAATATCAGAATAATGGCGTCTCTCATTTCCCTATCATTAATTATCCTATGCAGTTCCGTTCGCGCTTCATCTATTCGGTCGCGATCAGCACAATCAACTACAAATATTAACCCTTGCGTACCTACAAATAGAGAACAAACGTACAAATGCTATACGTGAAAAAATAAAATCAATGCATACCTGTGTAGTAATGACGCCATAAAGGACGAATTTTATCTTGACCACCCACGTCCCACACGTTGAATTTCACATTTTTGTAGGTTACAGTCTCAACGTTAAACCCAACCGTTGGAATCGTCGTGACAGATTGTCCCAATTTCAGCTTATATAGTATTGCTACATATACATTTTATATTAAGGAAAAGACTTCATAAAAGAATAAAATGGAATAAAATAACATTCGAAGAATAAAGCCACTTAATAAATAGCTCCAGTAGATGGAAATGATATTTGATCGATTTTGATCGAATACAACTTCCGATCATTTAAGCTCGTAAGAAAAGAAGAACTGTCTTTCGAAGACAAATATGACTTGATACAAAACTCTTCATTTCGCAATTGGTCTCTAAATGCCACATTTTTTATAACATTGCAGAACAGTGTCATAGTGAATTGACAAAAAAAATTATATTTTTAGAAGACAACTTTAATTACTTTCATTTCAATCTTTTTCTAATGTTTCTATGTAGGCGTTCCCTGGTTATAAATAACTGCGCTTAGATGGAATTTTCTCGGCCATGTTTAGGAGGACCGGGCATAGGGTTATAAAATTTCTAAGCCAACTCTAGAAACCTGTACTAGGGAAAGTTACGTCTGTTTCAAGACGAATAGTCTTCTAAAAACTCGAACGTCTGATAAATGTTTACATCAAGCAAACTATGGAGGAAAGTCTACTTTCGAAAGCACAGCCCTCCTCGACATATCTAGAGCGTTCAATAACGTTTTTAAATAGTCCTTAATGAATGAATTATAATCACAAGGTGTCAACCCAGTTGCAGAACGATCCAGGCACAATGAGACGTGGTAATGCGGGATGACATGAGGGGAACATTGGGCTACACTTGGACCTTTCAACTGCTCTCTCGCACTGAATTGAAAGACTATGGAAAAAAAGCAGATTTCATCCAATTTTATACTTTCCACCAGCAATTTTAGGAGCTTTCTTTCGGGAATCTGCTGTCCATTGCAATAGAGACAAATGGCTGGAGAAGTTTTGAAATTTGCAGAGAAAACATATGCTCTTTGCCTATCACTCTAAAATGAACGACGGAGCACCCAAATGATGAAGGTCATTCAAACTAAGTAGGAATATTTCCTATAAAAATAGCTACTCTAGAATTCTGGTCAAAGAAAGGGAGCACACATTTATGTAGAAAGCCAAGTCAAGCGAATAGACTTGGGAAACGAGCAAAGACTATGAATGAACACGCTTGACCCTAACAATATGAAGAACTTCGTATCTAGTAATCTTTACTGGCGACAGACAGCTTATTTTTCTTAACGCCAAGACAAGTGTTTTATGTGAAACTATACATATATAAAGCAATGCATACATCCACGGAAATGCTTAACTTTTCATAAACATAAAAAAATATTATCATTATATTTTTATTGTTATAAGCATTTTTTTTATTTTATTGTGATTTTTGTATAAAGGATACTTGTTTTCCCCGCTGCGTCTAGCCCAAGCATTAAGATTCGCATTTCCTTGTTGCCAAATATTTTAGAAAGTAGTTTTCCCATAGCGGAGCGTCATCAACTTCTTCTATATATCTGCGAATAAATATAAAATACGAAATAAATATTATTTTTATAAAGAATGACATTTTTTCTACAATTCTGTTGTATGAATTCTTAGCTTAATTATTGCCTATAGATAATCATGCTTATAGAAGACAGAAATAGTTTAATTTGGCAGTGGAGTTTATAAGAAATACAGTCTAGCTTTTGCAAGTTCGACAGCAAGCACTCAACAAGCTCGACCTGGATATTAGACTTTTCATAAGGAAAATTAGTGAATTTCAACCTTTTGGCTTTGACTTTTGTCATTTATTTCACAAAATTAAGATCTTCCATCGGTATTTCAAGCAGTGAAAGTTAAAAAAAAATAACGAAAAATTAACATTGTGAGCCTCACAAATTATTGTATATTACGGACAATGAACTGTATTATACTATGACTATTTTGCTAACGAATCAGATGACGAAGGCAAACCACAATTTTGACATTTCGTAGCTGGCTAACTCCTTCTGACATTTCTCACCGAACAGAGCTAAAGCGACGTAACAACGACGTAAGAAACGATATACAGATATATGAGTGGGTAACTTCACTACAAACAATTACTTATGGAAAGAGTTTGGATCACTGTGTTAAAACAATTCATACTAAATCATATAAACCATTAAAAAGTCAATCATGCCAGTCAATTGATTTTAAATATGAATCTCTGTTACTGTACTTGAAAATTAGGTGATTGTCCAGATGGAAACGAGATATTACAATAGTTTTACTAATAATATAATAATTTAACTTTAATTTTACTATTAAATTAATATGTTACACTCTCCAACAAAGCACAAGAAGTTAGTTTTGGAAAATTTCAATCAGTTCCAACAGTGTTATAAAATAGTTCACAAAGCTAATGTTGATCATTTGATAATACAACATAGAAGGATTGTTCAATATTTTTCCGAGTACAAAAATAAAAATTTTGATTCAGGTCGAAAGTGACAAGCCGGTGTGTGATTTAACTTTGAAAGAAAACGAAGTAGAGTTTTCTGTGGTACACTTTTTATTATGGTTTACAACTCAAGTAAGCAATCGATCCGCACCTTGTCAATTTGGCGGAATGAATTGTCGACAATGGAAGATGAAAAGGTCAATATGGATATTGTCGAGCAAAGAAAATACTTATAAAAAAAACCATGGTATTTTGCACTCTTTTTTAATTAATAATACTTAGACAAATAATAATATTAATTAATCTTTCCGGGCATGCGTTTATTTGGCTGGTAATCAATGAAAGCCGAGTTGTGACGCCAAACAGCAAAACGAATGGCATGCTATTATTGATTCGGCTATAACTGACTAAGTGGTGTCTCCGTCAATTAAGAAGAAGTTAATGACAGGCTCTCCATGTCTGTGAGTAACACGGAGTGTTGGCTCGATTTTGATTGACTCAGCGATTTGACAGAATGCTCATAATGCGTAGTCCGGTACCATGCACTTTCCAGAAACCTAGTATGGACTCGAGTAACTATAGTGCCGCATGATGTAATTAATGTGGTCAAAGACTATTTGAGAATTTTAGTGGGATAGTTTGATTTCGCTTACCATCGGAAGGCGCCGTGAAATAGCTCGCGCTTTTTGCAAATATCCGACCATGTGATGCCTTCTTCTTTATGAAGTGTAGCCAGATCTTTTTTCACCTGTTCCTTTCAAGGAAATGGAGGAATGGACATTATTACATCCTCCCCGAAATATTTTAAGTTAACCGACTAAGCTCCAAAACTCTTTTGTGGCAGCTTAAATCTTAATTTTTCGCAACCCCACGACTCACACACTCAATCTTTAAGCTAACGCAAAGTGACGTAATTAATTTTAACTGTATCTTCATGAATTGAATGTATGAATTGAAATGTTTTTTCCCAATATCCGGCCTTATAAATATATACATACATAAACTGCCGAGTTTCGGCATTGCGACCCAACAATATGAAGGGTAGTTAATCGAAGATGGAGTTATTCAAAGGGTAAGTAGTAACCTATAGAATAAATTTTTTCTTTGTTGATTTGTAAATATTCAGTTATAGTTCTTGAGCGAATAACATTCAAAAATTAAAAAAAAACATAACTTGCATTAGAAATTAAATTAATTTTTCTAATTACGTTTGCACCTCAGCAAGGAATATCAGCGAGTATTTCTGACATTAGACAAAAGCTTCTCATATAAAACCAAAAGCTGCGGCCGCTTAGAATTAACCTTAGGTCCTTCCATTTGTTGGAAACACTTCATGTATCCGATTTTCTTCACAGTCGGGCAACGAAGCATTTGGTCCATTATCATCGCTCGGGTAATCGAATTCGCCATCTCCTGGCGTTCCAATTTCACTGCCGTTCAACAGACTAGAGAAGTGTTCCCTCAATAAATTCATTATACTCTGAGCATCAGTTACTAGATGACCTTTTTGTGTCGGATCTGCTTCTCAAGCTCTTCACACTCACACAAATAGGCCTCTTTCCTTGTTTGTCTGCACATGTGTCTCGCTTCCCTCTTAAATTCTCGATATTTACCCCATTCCTCACGTGTAGTGGTCGATCGCAACGTTGCGAGGTATGCAGCCTTCTTTCTCTTCATTGGCGACGTTTCTGAAATCCAATAGTTCGTTGCAGCTGTATTTAGGCAGCTTGAAATTACATCCAACAGTTTCCTTTTACCGAGTTGCTGATGAGTGCTCTCAGTCGGCAGGACTGGAAGTCGAGTAGAAAACCTTTCCACAGTCTGTTGTGATTGCATCCTTGCGTTGAACCTCACTTGTGTTTGTTGATGGGCGTTCTTCCACTACTCCAGGCTACGGAGCAAGAACATCAACCACTTAGGCAGCGGCACCTTCCCAATTAAGGGACTGGACATTCGAAGTGCATGCCTTTAAATCATGCTCCTTAATTCAGTGCGTCATCAAAAAGGGTTGCTAACTTATTCCTGGTTACTACGTAGCATAACGTACCAAAGCCTGTGCACACCCTCGCTAGGCGAGTGAGTTCAAATTTTTTAGATATTTATATAATGAGCCGCTTGCTTCAAGGCCGTCACCACCTCGCAGCAGCACCTCTGACGAAGAGGCGGTGAAATTAGACTCCAGCGAATTCTTAAACCGAATAAGTCGGTCCACTGAAGCTTCCTCTCTTTTAACCGTGACCTAAAGCCCCACACGGGTATTTTAGATAGAAAAAATTGATAAATGAGTTTATTCAAAAGCACCAATATTCAATTTCGCATCGCACTAAATCAAGTTGGTTATCGTTATTATTTTATATTTTAGTTTTTAATTTAATGGGTGAACATATATGGCAGCACCAACTTTTTTTATAATATTAAAAATAAAAAATAAAAATAAAACAGAAAAAATCGAAAACTCATATATCATCCCATGTTATCATACACAGGGCTTCTGCACCATTCAGTATGTAGTACTTTCTTCATCATTAAGTTGAAGAAGTTCCACGATAAGAGGCACCCTGTCTTTCGTACAGCATTGTCCGACTTTGAGAGATCTTTCTCAAATCGGACGCAGCTTTTGGTGTTACTCAGCATGAGTTTACACAGTAGCATAAGTTTTGCGGGTAGTTTCTTTCCGTGCTTTCGAATGCAGTTTTAGAATAGACAAAATAGTTTGTCTCGTTTACTTGACTCAATAATTTGGCGCATGGTGGCTAATTCCCTGATGATTGGAACAGAATATCTGGTCTCCCTTTTTTTGGATTGGTCAGAGCATATAACACGTTCAAATTTTAGGATATGACCATATTTAACAAACTGAATTCATGCACCTTATCCGTTTGTTGTCGGCGTACTTTAGCAGATCGCCGGGCTATAATTTAGCATTGTTTTCTTGTCGGCGGTACGTAAGGCATTTCAGCCGCTTATATCAATTTATTGACGATTACTCTCAGAAAGGCTAATAGAGTACAAAATTAATTGATATCTGCTGTGATTCCAAGTTTTCAACGCCGACAGATAGATGTATAAGGAGGATATCTTATAAGAAATCATATATGATTCTGAAGTTATTCTTATTAAGTAATTATTGTAATTATGTCTTTGAATCTTCTGATATTGTAGCCATCTATAAGTTTCCTTTCCCATTCCTATACCATATTTCAACGTCGAACATTCCAAGTATTTGCGGACGGTTAGTCGATTAGCTTCAGACAGCACTCATTAAAGTTGATACTACAATCTGCATTCAAAAGTTATTAAGACTCAGTATTTATTCCAATATTTTACATCAATCATGTACATAGTTTATGTAGTATACAAAAGAAATAATACAGCAATAAATTCGTGTCAAAAATCGGAAAAATATTGTAAGCAAAGCCATATATGTGAAGACTTTAATGGTGCCATGCTGCTCTACGAACGCATCCGTCATAATTGCGACTCCTTTGAAGTTTAAAGTAAGTCTAATTAAAATAAAAAATTAATGTTCGAGTCTGAATGCTATTGATATCTAAATGCAGTCCTACCTCGCAAAGTTTTGTCTAATACTTATAAATCTGCTACTGCTGCATGATGAGAAGCGTCCATTTTAGTTAACCTGCTCCAATAGCTGAGTTTTCCGAACAATATGGAGTGCCTTTAAATAAAAACAATGCAAAGATTTATGAAAAATGAAGTAGTTAATTAATCGACAATATATTACATTATTACCATAGCTTGCATAGGATCCTTAAAAACATTTTTCTTTTTTTACGTTCTCTGCTATCTGCAAAAAGATAAAAATGGCGTTCTTCCCGAAAATAAGAACATAAAATAAAACGGATTATCCGTTCAACTTGTGTTGTACTCAGAAGAGAAAGATGAACAAAAAAAATGCTTATGTTAATGCTGACCGAAATCTTACGGGTGTTTTGGTGAACACATGCCGTTCTTGCAAGGGAGGGAAATGAGTTTATTCATAGATTTATCGATTTTGATTTTTAAATTCCTAATATCTTATATTTATCCCGCCAAATACAGCCCAATTTAAACTTTGAAAATTATATATTTCATGCAATATTGAAAACACTGCGTTTACGCTTTAAAGCTTATCGAAATAGAAATAGATTTAATTAGACCATTAGCTACATCGTTGATCGTGGGGCAGTACTGTCATATTCTTTCCTTTACCTTGGTGTTCATTCTTTTTTTTAACTTAATGCATTCACTGCGAACGAAGATAGTGCGTGATTCGCCAATGTCAATATCGCCGTACATCTCGTAGAGCCATGGTTCCATCGTTTCTCCCCAAAACCCATAACGACGACTCATGTTGTCATCGTCCATGCCTGCGCACCATATAACAGGACGGAACGATGAAGTTCTTGTAGAGTTTGGTCTCCGTTCATCGAGAGGACTTTACTTTTCAATTTTCCCCTCAGACCAAAGTAGAAACTGCTGGCAAGAGTACTTCTGCGCTGGATCATAAGGCTGACATTATTATTAGACGAAATTATCTACGACCTACGACTGTCAGCAGTGACGTGGGAGCGAATGCGTAGTCTGTTTATTTGATGACAGGAGATATATCGTCTTATTCTCGGTCACAGACCCATAGCCTTCGCTTACTTATTTAGTCTGGAGAAAACAGAACTCATTAATGTCAATATTATCGGCGTTCGCCAGCAGCTGTACACTCCTATAGAAGATTGTACCTTTTTTATTCAGCTCTGCAGCTCTTATAATTTTTTTACCAGGATATAAGAAAAATAATTTTTTGTTTTATCTTTGTGGACGATATTTTTTCCCATCGCTTGGAATGCTAAAAGGATGGCAAATGCAAACGAAACAATAATAGAAAAGCCCAACGGCACTTCAGTGCGCGAATATTTGTCTGCTCAAAATTATTAATAATCTATCTCTATCAACGCTTATGATATAAGAAAAATAAGAAAATACTATTTAATAAAAAAAATTTGCTTTTAAGTATTTTCTAAAGTGCTTTAATAAAATTTGCAGTTATGTAATTATTAATTCATTAATTAAATAATTTCTAATAGTCCTTTAAAAGAACGAAGATTTATGTAAAATTTGCTTTGTAAAAATTTGCGGTTTATATTTTAGATTTTCAGAAAGCATTGAAGTACAAAAAACAGTTTGGTATTATTTTACAATGTAATCCGGTAATATTAGCAATTCAAATTCAGGTAAAAGCTTTATCTACATTTTAAACGAAAAAAAATAATATTTATAACTTCGAATTTCTTAACAGAGGCTGAATAATGTGGGAGCGTGTTCCATTCTCATTTAACGAATGCTTAACTATTTAACTAAATCGTTGCTATTATAATATTAAATTTATTTCGACAAAACTAAATTTAGATACTTATTGTGTTAGTGTAATAAAGAACTAAATAATTTTAATTTCAATTAAATTTTGGTTTTTATTGACAAATCAGCTGTTTTTCCATATTGCTTGTAGAACTAATTGCGGGAATCATTAAAATTCAGTAAAAAAAAATTTTACCGCCGCAGGTCTCCAACAGATTCAGAAAATTCGTCTTCAAAATTTGAATTAAATAATCGTAAAACATTTAAGTTTAGGAACTAAATTCAGAATACAGACCGTTAGGGTAGAGCAAAATGATCGTGGTGTGCTCTGATTTCGGTATTTTAATGATATAAATTTTTTTGGAGCAAACTTTTGTTTTCGTGGATACATCTCGAAAACCTGTACCCTCAGTTTTATGAACTTATGATTGTTGGAAAGGTAATTAAAATTCCTTTTTATATGTTGATATGGCTATACTATCTCAAGATAATTTCGTAAAATTCCCCACTTTTACGAAAAAAGCTTGTCATTAAAATAACCAAAAAAAAGTATGTTATTAAAACAGGACTGACCGCGCCCAGTTTTTATATTGTTCAACGTTAACGGTATGTATTCTGTACTTGTTCTTTTTTTCTAGGAAAGCTACAACACATAAATGTATAAAAGAAAAAATCAAGAAAAGTTTCAATTCCTTGCCTTTCAACCTTATCATAATTTATTTTATTTGGTCTTCGCATTTAGATACAATATGCAATCAAAGTGGGATAAAGTTCTAAAGTCAACTGGTCATATTTGTGAAAAAAAGCAACTATTTTCGGCTTTTAAATTTGCAATACTGCTGCTATAAGAACAACAAAAAAAGATTAGAAAGCCGCAGAAGTATTTAGATCATATCGTCGACCTTATGATCGAAAAATTAAGTTTGCACCAAAAATATTATTGATTAAAACCAGAAAAAAATTGGGGCATGGCCAATCTGGCGTTTTCCTTTATTTTAACGGCACATATTCTGTGGGAAATATTTCTGTTGTCGTAGCTTATTTTTTACATGGGTTTAGGAATCCAACTCTTGCTTTAAAATATTTCAAATTACTTTTATGTTATACTTTAAATATTTTCATTTTTTTAATAATAATTTTCTTTTTTAAAATTCTCAGATTTAAGATAAATTTTAATAAAAAAAAAAATGAAATATATATATATGTAAATGTATGTATCTAAATATAATGAGTTTTCTTATTGTGTCGTTTTGCACAGGAAACCTGAGCAAACTGTGCTACTAGTTTTTGTATGACAAATACTTGCGAAAGTATTGTGATTTTCATTATTATTGTTTTCAAAAATAATAAGTGTGATCCCGATATTTAAATTCCGGAGTCAGATCGCTGCGTGTTGCACTATAATCACAAATTCCGTACAGGTTTTTTATGGTGTTTGGTTCGTAAATTACCAAAAGCAAACATGATGTCTGTTAATGGAATATTTCAAAGGTATGTCAACCAGAAATTATCGAGGAATGTAATGACAAACCTTCAATTTCCATTCGAAATTACCAAATTACACTCTGCAACAAATATCTGTAACACTGAATACAAGTTCTATAACTCGTCGCACTATTGCACCATAGAGAATTTGTTCAATAATATAAATATGATCTTTCGTTACTTAAATCCATACTTTTTCCGTGTTTATATAAACATATAAATTAAATTCTATTTAAAAAAATATCTGTATTCACTCTTCGCAATTTAAAATGCCAATTGGAATTATAATTTCTTTCACAATAATCGATGTAGACCAATTAATATCCACAAAAGTCTTATATACAGACACAATTACAAAATAGTTTTTATTAAAGAAAAATAATAAAGGTATAATGTCACGCACCAGATTAACAAATTTTTGAATTCAGTGCTTCAATCCGCTATTAAAACCACTGCTGCTTTACACGTCACTTCAAATTCCAAAAATTAATCGACAACTTTAACAAAATCTGTAATAACCCATCTTATTAAGATAATAGTCAGGTTAAACACTTTAATTTTCTCATTAACTAAAATTTACATTTTTCTGCACTAAAATATTGTACTTATAATATAATTTTACATTTTAAACACACGCCTTTAGTTGAGTTCGCACAACTTATAGTTCACAGAATATAACTAAAAAAAGTGAAATGTTTTGGAAATGAAAAACAAGCGGGTGAAATTATGTCGTAAAATTTCAAGAATTATAAAATGAAGCTTGTGGCAATACCTCAAAGTGTAATGGCTGTGCTCGCTTTCCTCCACTTTTATTATTTTGAATGCTTCTATTACTTTATGAGCACTTGGAAGAATGACAAATATAACGTTATATAGGTTATCAACAATTAAAGGTACACTTGTTAAATACAGGGAGAATGCTTTTATTTTACTTATAAAAACGCTAAGTCTTTTTTTTGCATTCTCTTCTGTGTTTTCAATTTGCTTTCACACTTGCTGCACTTGCCTCTATCGAGGTACTTGTACCATTCCCCTTTCTTCTCACCTCGTTCGTCTACGAATAAGCAGACATCACGCATGTGAAAGGGGACTAACGAGACATGGCTAGGGAGGCGTTACCACTCCAAATAATCTATAAATTAACAATATAGTTGCGAAAATGCGAGGCGAATGTCAGATGCAAGAGAGAAGCCGATAACTAGTACATTCTAGAAACGATAAAACAAGAACCTNGTCAAATACTTGGTATTCGAAAAACACGAACGACAGCCCTACTGCCAAGTTAAGTTAGTTACAAAGTGAACTGGTTGGCGTGAACATCAGTAAAGTCGGAAAGTAAACGCGTTGGAGATTACATTTAAGTAGAGTAAATTGTGAAAGTTGATGATAGTGATTGTAAATAGTAAAGTGTATTGTAATTGAATTGTGAATTACGGAGTAAATAATAGACATTAGATAAAATCTTTATAACGAAAGATACTGCAAATTGAATTGGCGAGTTTTTATTTAACAATCCAGAGATCGTACCCGAAGGATCTAGAAAATAATCGAGGTTGATTTAGTAAAATCGTAACAATATATATGCGGAAAAATAAAATAAGTAAACGAATTTTGCTACTCAAATAGAAAGATTAGTCGGACCAACACCGGCTTCGCCTTGATCAGTATTCTTTGTAACTTGGAGGCATTGGGCGGCGTTTTGGAATCTTACCCATAGCAGGACCACCGTTTTTTTGGATTGTATCTCTAGACCAGAACAACACCGGCTTCACCTTGCACAGTATTTTTAAGTAAAACTCATAATTTCACACAATCTCCCCTGGGTAAGGAATGTCCAGCCCCTCCGAGTGTATCTTGGACTTTAAATAACGGCTCTTCGTAAAACAACCATCAGTCGTTCGTACTCTACTTATTACAATCCGTAGGTCGACCCATTTGTTGGAACAACACCAAGCCACAAAGGCCACATATTGGGAGGCAAATATACATATTGTTGCGAATATTCCAGGCGAATATCAGATGAAAGAGAGAAGCCGATAACTAGTACATTCTAGAAAGATAAAACGAGAACCTTCGATAGCGAACAACTCGATTATTCTACACTTCAGTCTATGAGCAGCGACTGCTATATAAAGGCGACACTCAGTTGCCAAGTCAAGTCAGTACATTCTAGAAAGATAAAACGAGAACCTTCAATAGCGAACATCTCGATTATTCTACACTTTCGTCTATGAGGAGCGACTGCTATATAAGGGCGACACTCAGTTGCCAATTCAGTTACAAAGTGAACTCGTTGGCGACAACATCAATATAGAGTCAGTTAAGTAAACGCGTTGGAGATTATAATATTAATACTTTGATATTGTTACGATTTTGCTAAATCAACTTCGATGATTTTCTTAATCCTTCGGGTACGATCTCTGGATTGTTAAATAAAACTCGCCAACTTAATTTGCAGTTTCTTTCATTATTATTAATTACCATGCACTTTACTATTTACAATCACTATCATCAACTTTCACAATTTACTTTACTTAAATGTAATCTCCAACGCCTTTACTTTACGACTTTACTGATGTTAACGCCAACGAGTTCACTTTGTAACTGACTTGACTTGGCAGCTGAGTGTCGCCCTTATATAGCAGTCGGTTGCTCGCAGACGAAAGCGTAGAAGCATTGAGTTGTTCGCTATCTATGGTTCTCGTTTTATCGTTTCTAGAATGTACTAGTTATCGGCTTCTCTCTTTCATCTGACATTCGCCTCGGATTTTCGCAACAATATAAATGATGTAATAACAAAGTAAGTGTAAGATACTCTTTAAACGAAAATGTTGGGATTATTGAAGGCTCAAAATTAAATTATTTTATTTATATTTTTATTTTTTGCGCAATGCGAGCTCATTTAAGATTCCTTAAATTTACTAGCAATCAATGACGACCAAATGAGCCGCAAAACACTGTGAAGCAAGGTTCATACGATCAGTCACGATAATGAATTCTTAAGCTTCTGAAAGCGTCGACGGTGCACCAGATGTAATGTTAATCGAATTTAACAACTAAAACTCTTTCTAAATATACAGAATTTTATTAAAAAAGAATCGAAGAAATTCCGAACCGGACATTTAATACATCCGATTAAAACAAAGAAAGACCTCGAAACTCATTTTCGTATTTTAGTCATCCTTCCTGAAAATTTAAGCTACCAATTGCTGCACAGATTTACATAAAAGTTGGATTTGTTTTTAGATTTTATGCTTCGCTTTGACTAAATTGGCCCTTGTGAAAGTACCTGCAATGATAGCGAAACAAAGAGTGAAATGTAACATAATGCAGAATTGAGTGCTTTAACATAAGAAGTAATTCGTTTTGATGCCGTTTATTTTTTTTGACTGCAATGACATTCGAGAACACCGTTCACCCTTTTCGCCATTGCTGCCACTTGTAGTGAAAACGCTTTGGGCAACCATATCAAACATTTCAGTGTAAGTTCATACCGGTGCGTGCAATTATATTATATAGTTCGAACAACAACAATGGACCACATTCTTGCAAAAGTAAACTCTGAAATTAATATAAAGCCTTACAAAAAGGATTACATGTGTCACTTTGAATGTCTGCGGGACAACATTTTCACCAGTTTGAAGAAAGACATAATTTTTTCGAAACTATATAATGGAAATTATTTGAAAGGTAGTCCTATCTATGTCAATATACTATTTATGTATGTAGGTGTACGGGCGTCAATCACTGCTATTTTCTTGTACAAGAAATGTCTTGTGGTTTAAAACTATCACCTTAAGCATATTAATCACGCCTAGGGATCATATCACATTAAAAGGTTAGCAACACCAATGCAGAGATGACCCGTGTTTATTGCGAATCGTAAGTGAAACAATTAATCAAATACACAAGCGAGTTTAATGTAAAAGCATTGACAGCTTAGACTGTGTTTGCACTTCGAAATATTTTGGTTGCCACCGTAAATTGAATTTACACACGAATACTTTTGTGACTCTCACAATTTTTTCTTTATCATTGCCATTTACGTTCGCACGTTTCAGCCATTCCAATGTACTACCCTAATTTTTTTTACATGTAATAAATTTATTTTTTGTTTTTTTTACATTCTCTAACATTAAATTAGGTTTTGCATGCCACAAAACCCCTTAAAATAAAAAGGGTAATTATTTAGAACAGCGGCTTTTGCTAAAACTGTCCAAAAATGATGGGGTTTTTGGCTAAATAGATGTATTTGATGATTATCTTTTCANCGGCTTCGCCTTGCACAGTACTCTTAAGTGAAACTCCTTTGTAAGTTGGCGGCCTTCGGCCGCGCTTTGGATTGTAACCCTGGGCCGGACCAACACCGGCTTCTCCTTGCACAGTATTTTTGAATGAAATGTCTTTATGAAAAATACTGTTTAATTCATATGTTATTTTACATGCAAGCCAATATGAATTTTCTTTTTTATTCATGTTATGAATTTTCGCTTACATTCGTTTCAATAAATCGAAAAACTATCAATGCAGGACCTACACCTGCTCCGCCTTATTTATTGCTCTTTTTTAAGTTTCTTACACAGTATGGCAATGTCGCTTTCGCCATACTTTGTCTTATTCATTACTCTTTTTTAAGTAAGATATGGCAACATCGCTTTAGCCATGTATTTGTTTGTAATGTATGTGCTAGTGATTTTAGTGTAACTTTAAATGTTAATAACAATAAAACTATTGCAAAATTCAGCTTTCCCCCACTTTTAATGAAAAGATAATCATCAAATACATCTATTTAGCCAAAAACCCCATCATTTTTGGACAGTTTTAGCAAAAGCCGCTGTTCTAAATAATTACCATAAAAAGGAATGGTAATTTTATAACGACGAAGAAAAACACAAAAAGTATTGACCTAGCGAAACAGATCGGTACACTGCTCGTCGCTCTTGTTCCACCAAATTAAGAGTCTCGGCAAAAAAATAGGCGGTGTAAACTCAGTCTACGAACGCGAAGTATGAAAAACATGAAAATTGAATTTTAATTCCTGGCTGTTCACACTGCGCCATTTTAAATTCTGTTTGAGTTTAGGGCATTAGTTGTGTGAAAATCGGTTAAAGAAGATTGTAGCTAAAAATGATTTTAATGCCATAATGTCAAACTTGTGCATTAGGATTAAGACATCGACTCGGATCACTATCTTGTAGCTGTGTGTATCAATGTCAATGTCGGTCAACAAATCAAAATAAATTGCAACCGGCAGCCGAAAAGTTATTCGCTCGACTTGCTCGACGAGAACTTTACCGCTTACGGAAACAATTATTTTTTGGTAGTGCCAGAAAAAAATCTGGGACGATGAGAAATGCCGAGCTGTAATGGAGAGAAAACAGACTGCCTATATCTTAAGCTGCGATCGACCACTACACGTGCCAGTTAGGATAGATACCGCATAGACGCATTTGCTGAAAAAAAGAAAGAGGCCGAAATGCGTAAGTATGAAGAGCTTGGCAAGCTATGAGCGATTTCGTTTTGAACTTTTCGATCGGGGACAACCAAGCACAGACAACTCAGGTGAGATCGATTAGTCACAACCCATTGGGGATGTTTCCTTGTGGGGGTTGAATTTTGCGATAGCTTAGTTTAGTTTTCACACCGTTTCTGCGCTCACAAAAGGCCTCATTAGTCACATCTTCCTTTTCTTCCGTCGGGCGAACTAATATGGAAAAAATTTCATTTTGATGCCAGTTTTCATTTCAACGAGGACATCAAACAGCTGAGCAGAGGCACCTACCCAATTATGGGTAAGGACATTCCGGGGGCATGCTCTCACATTCTGATCCCTAAAACTTTTGCAGGGTCGTTATCAGAAGGGCGTATCTCATCCGAGGTATGTATTAATTTTTCATTGGAGCTGGTTTCTACGTAGCGAGTTATAAACCCAGCGCACCACTTCGTTAGGCAAGTACCATTGCTGAACAGGTAAACCAAATAAATCGTAGTGGCTCCACTTATGCTTCCTTTCATTTAGCCGGGACCTAAGACTCTACACGTGTTGGTTACGCATGAGTAGGAATTGAGTAAAGCCCCGCATCTGTAACTGCATACCCAGAAGCTTGACTTCACCCCATCACACCAAAGAGTGCCATCATTTGCAAAATTTTGTGTTTCTAATACCTTATATAAGGTTAATTTACAGAAAACTTACTTCACCTTGCTGGAAAATTACTTGATATTTATTGTTTTAGTTATTAATAAAATTGAAATTAATCAATATGAATTTAATTGAAGTGTTATATTTACTCTGCTGAGGGTAAAAAAAATTTAGTGTTCGAGCACACTTTGCTTCACCTCGCTTCGCTTCGCCTCAATTATCTTCTATGCGTACTTACCCTGCAAACAAAGCGAATACTTCAATCAGGCGTGAAATATATATTCATCTCTTCTTGACGCTGTTTGGCGCCATATAGAAATACCTTGTAAAACCAGATCGCTCTCTACCTGATCCTTTCAACCGAGTGGAGGTATTCCTTTTCCTCTGCTTCCACCAGCGGGTACTGCATCGAATACTTTTAAAGCTCAAAATTGCAAAACTTTTCTCTCGAAGACTTCCAGGACCGACTCATCAGATGTTGATATCGTCCACGCACGGGTATGATGAGCGACTTGTAGACTGGATTGGGCCGAGAGAGGAAATTAGTTTTCAGTTGCCTACTCAGTCCAAAGTAGCACCTGCTGGCAAGAATGATTCTGCGCTGGATTTCAAGGCTGATATTATTATTGGTGTTGATGCTGGTTCCTAGAAAGACGATATTATCTACGACTTTAAAGTTATGATTGTCAACAGTGACTTCCTGATTCAGTCTGGAATGTCGATATCATCGGCATACGTCAGCAGCTGTACATTCTTATAGAAGATTGTTGTTGTTGTTGTTGTTGTAACCGCAAAATTATTCCCCAAAGTACTTTTTGGGGAATGTTGGGGGAGTGACAGTCCTTGGCCGGATAAAAATCCGGGTCGTTCCGGTATAAAGACCCGACTGTCGCGGGAACTATTGGATTTTAGTCGCGGGTAAATTCTAGAGCCCCTGACCCGCAGGGGTAATAGAAGATTGTACTTTTCCTCAGCTCTGCAGATCGTATTGTTTTCTCCTGTATCAAATTAAAAAAGTCACAGGATAAGAAGTAACCTTGTTTGGTATCGAACAGCTCGAAGAGGTTCTTCCCGATCCTGATGGAGCTTAGTTAGTTTATATAGCCTGATAAGCTTAGCGGGAATACCAAATTCAGATATAGCGGCGTAGAGGTAACTCCTTTTCGTGCTGTCGAAGGCTGCTTTAAAACTGACTAAAAGGTGGTGTGTGTCGATCGTCTTTTCACGGGTCTTTTTCAAGATTCGGGGCACGGTTAATATCTGGTCAATGGTTGACTTACTAGGTCTGAAGCCAGTTTGTTGACGGTGGACTTTAGACTTTCACCCAATACGTTCGACAGAACTCTTTTACCTTTGAGAACTTCAATAACTCGTTTTCAGTAGTACATAGGGAGTTTGAAATGCCGTCCTACAGGTCTCTTATACCGGGTTGATGATCTCAGAGAGCAGATGTGCAAGTCGAGTAGAAACCCGGTCGATAATCAGCTTTGATTGCAGATTTTTAACGTCAATATTTCCTTGTGTTTGTTGACGGGCGTTCTTCGATATACAGAGACTGGTGCATGTCTTCGCTACAACATAATAATGGTCCGTGTCGAGGTTGAGTCCTCGGAGTGTATGCACGTTTAGAACACTGGAGACATATCTTGGGTCTATAACAACATGATCGATCTGGTGTTGTATTTTTCGATCAGGGGACAGCCAAGTAGCTTGATGTATTTTTTTGTGCTGAAATCTTGTATTACAGACAACTATATTTCGGGCCCCGGCGAAGTTGATCAGCCTCAACCCATTAGGGGATGTTTTGTTCTGAAGGCTGAGTTTCCCAAAAGTCGTACCAAAGTTGAAGTCGTCAAAGCCCATATGAGGACATCAACCAGCTGGGCAGCAGCACCTTCCCAATTGAGGGACCGGACATTCCAGGTGCATGCCCTTAAATCGTAATCCTTAAAACATTTGCGGGGGTCGTCATCAAAAGACGGTCGCTCATCCGAGGCTGATAGAAATTTTTTACTAGATTTGGTTTTTCAGGTGGTGGGGGTCCCAAATCTTACACATAACCGCTTTCGGATGGTTAAAATTTTTGAAAAAAATTTTTAGTGAAACTTCCATTTTTTGTATCATTGGTTGACCATATAATGCGTCTCTGCACAAACTCCAAGTAATTCGCACGCTTAGACTTTATATTAATAGTAAAAATTATTAATTTCTTACCTTAATATGCGATATTTTTAATTATCTCAACGAAGCGAAACACTAACGACTCTCACGACAGCCGGTTCTACGCACCGGAGTTGACCCGGATTTTATCCGGCCAAGGGCTGTCACCCTTTCGGAGACCTAACCCCGTTTAGGTCTACAGGTAACCTTAGTCTAAGTACGTCAACGGAGCAACACCTCGCAGCTGGGTTGCTCCAAATCCTTCTGATCAGGGCTGGTGTAGAAACCAACCCTGGACCGACGGATTACTTCTATTCATCCACCTCGGTTAGATGCACCCAGTGCAATGGCTGGAGTCATCTTAAGACCTGCTCAGGCCTTAAGACCCACAGGGAATGGACCACAAGTTATGTGGCCCCATGCTGCCAGCGTCCAACCGCCCCCTCAGCCTCCACGGCAGTGCCTTCAGCACACATACCCACTCTGGGTAATCTGCAGACCTCCACGGTCTTACGGAGCTCCCCGCAGCATGATTCCCCCCAACCTCCACCCCCATCCCCACCCACAACCAGCTCCTCATCCTCCTCCCGTGCGAGGGCTACCCAGCAGCTCCTAGTCCCCCGCACTGTCTGTTCCGTGTGTCAGACCATAGTGCGTCGGAACGTGACCTCAGTCAGATGCAATTTCTGCTCTGGCTGGTGTCACTTTCGGACATGCTCTGGCACAGCATCATCCACGCATCACTCCCTCACTCCCCGAATCACGAACGTTCCCCCGAGACAGACCCGACTTCTACAATTTAACTGCAACGGACTCCAGGGAAAGATTGACGAGATAGTCGACTACATGAGCCGGGAGCACCTGCCAATTGCTGCGATCCAGGAAACCAAGTTGACCGCCCGATCAGATCTTCTGAACAGGGCCGGATACAACATAATCCGCAAGGATCGCGAGCGAGACCACGGCGGGGGTTTAGCGTTCATCCTGCACAACACCGTGCAGTATCGTCTTATCGATGGCGACATCGACCGCAGGGATACTACCCTAGAATGTCAGGGCATAGCTATCCGGTCAGGCGATGTCGAGCTCGAAATATTTAATATATACATCCCTCCAGTTACAAGTTGCCCAGCTGGATACACCCCTGACATAGGTGCGCTACTCAGGGGCGAAAACCGCTTGGTTTTGGGCGACTTTAACGCGCATCACGATCTTTGGCATTCTAGCCTGTCAAATGACCGTAGAGGAATGGAGCTGGCTGAACAGATAGACGATTCGACATTCTGCACAATGAACGATAACACCCCCACCAGAGTTATGGGTAATTGCCAAAGCTCGCCAGACATAACAATTGCGAGTGCTGGTCTGATAAACAGTATAGTCTGGCGACCTATACTGACGTTAGCATCGGACCACTTGCCCATACACATCTCGATTGACAGGCCTCCCGACTTTGTTTCCGCGGACCACCGGACTTTCGTTAACTTTAAAAAAGCTAATTGGCCCGGATTCACGGAATTTACCGAGAACGCCTTTAGTGGTCTTCCCACTCCAACTGACGTCACCGCTGGTGAACGCTCATTCCGCAGGGTCGTCGTGACCGCTGCCGCCCGCTTCATCCCGGCAGGCCGAATTGCGGAAATCCGCCCTAACTTTCCGACGGAAGCGGCGGTACTAGCAACCAGGCGCGACACCCTTCGAAGCTCCGATCCCGGGAATCCCCTAATCAGGGATTTAAACGCGGAGATTCGACGAGTCGTAAACAATCATAAGCGGAAAAGGTGGGAGGAGCACCTAAGGACCTGCAACCTCTCCTCTGGGGCAACCAAGCTCTGGGCCACAGTCAAGTCGCTGTCTAACCCGACGAGACGCGATGACCGGGCGGAAATTTCATTCGGTGATCGCGCCTCGTCGGACCCGAAGAGATGCGCGAGCTATTTTAGCCGTCTTTTTACACTGCATCCCTCGGTAGATAAAGCGAAACGACGTGTGACCCGCCGTATGCGCAAACTGCCAAACACCAGCGCGGTGCTTGATTTCTCCAGGGAGGAGGTTCAGGGGGTCATCGGGAAGGCGAAAGCCTCCAAATCCATCGGCCCCGACGGAATAAGCATGCTGATGCTGAAACATTTTGGACCAGCGGGAGCAGAATTTCTCGCGAGGGTCCTCAATCTGTCCTTGACCACCCTAAAGATACCCGACGTGTGGAAAATGGGTAGGGTGGTCCCGCTACTAAAACCGGGGAAACCAGCCAACAAAGGAGAGTCTTATCGGCCGATAACTCTCCTCTCCCCAGTAGCGAAGACGCTTGAGGCCTTACTGCTCCCGACCTTCACTCACCATCTGCGTCCAGCAGCGCATCAGCATGGCTTCCGAAAAGTGCACAGCACCACAACAGCACTTAACGCCATAAACACCCAGATAGTCCATGGCCTCAACCAAAACCGACCCTGCGCGCGAACTGTCCTAGTAGCACTGGACCTGTCAAAAGCCTTTGACACAGTAAACCATTCAGTGCTACTAACGGACATTGAGGAATCCTCATTACCGCCGGGGTTGCAGAGGTGGGTCATGGGCTACCTGAGTGGTCGACAATCATCGGTAATATTCCGAGGTAAAACATCTAAACCCAGAAAAATTAAACAGGGGGTTCCGCAGGGTGGTGTCCTCTCCCCGCTACTGTTTAATTTTTACATATCGAAACTCCCTCCACCACCAGAAGGAGTTTCCCTAACCTCGTATGCCGATGACTGTACGATAATGGCGTCTGGCCAGGATATTGATGACCTCTGCTCGAAAGTAAACGGCTACCTCGCTGATCTCTCCCACTTCTTCACTGCAAGACAACTACGAATCCAACCGACAAAATCCTCGGCTACCCTTTTCACCAGCTGGACGAAGGAGTACAGGCTTGAACTAGATGTAAAGGTCGATGACGAAAAAATTCCGACGATAAATAACCCAAAAATATTGGGAGTAACTCTGCACAGCCTGCACTCCTTCACTCCGCATACGACCGCAATTGCCGCAAAACTCCAGAGCCGCAACAAAATACTCAAAGCGCTAGCCGGCAGCACCTGGGGTAAAGATAAAGAAACTTTGCTGGCTACTTACAAAGCAATTGGCCGGCCGGTCGTAAACTATGCTGCTCCGATCTGGACGCCGGGGACGAACGGGACGCAGATGAAGAAGCTACAGGCTTGCCAAAACACCGCCCTTAGGACTGCGACAGGAAACCTCCTGATGTCGCCGGAGCATCACTTGCACAGGGAAGCATCTATGCTACGAGTTAAGGAGCATAATGCTTTGCTGTGCAAGCAGTTCCTACTGGGATGCTACCGCAGGGAGCACCCCAGTAGGCACTTAATAGAAGCTGAACCTCCACCTAGGCACATCAGGAAGGGAGTACTAGACCTCAAAGACACGATCCAGCAACACACACAACAACCGCTGGACAGGACGGCGTATCGACAGGCACTGAACGCCATTCACCAGGAGTCAGTTAACACCTTCATGAACTCCCTTCCAGTGAATGGCGTACTCGGAGAAATACCACCACCCATAGCAGACAACGAGCTCGAGCTGCCTCGAGAGACCCGCGTGACCCTGACACAACTTAGGTCTGGATATTGTAGTAGGTTAAACTCCTACCTATCCAGACTAGACCCCAGCATACCTAACGTATGCCCGGCATGTGGAGAGTCCCCGCACGACACTAACCACCTCTTCACATGCCCTCTCAAACCTACTCATCTAACACCCCTCTCCCTTTGGTCCAACCCCGTCGAAACAGCTCGTTTCCTGGGCCTACCTTTAGATGACCTCGACGACTTAGACTAACTCAAGCCTGTGCCTAAGCGGGGTTAGCGAATCCGCTACAACAACAACAACTAAAATTTGTTTTGACACATTCAGCGGTGTTATAGAAACCGACACTGATATGCTTATTTATATTTATTGATTGCTTTAAATGGTGTTATGAAACCGACTTGGTTTTTGCTTTTTTCCAAAATATGGAAAATCGCTTTTCGAATCAGCTCGAAACAAATTTGTGAAGAAAAACCCTGATATTTAATTTAACCTTTGTACTGGCTTTAACAGATTCTTGATTTTTTAATAAAAACAAAACGAATTTTTTGATATAAATATTAAGTAAACTACGAGGCCTAGTTGTTTGAATGAATTGAATATTTGTTATACAACAAAGAAAAATGGTAGAAGTGACAGCTGTTTCGGAGATCACCACATCTCCTCATCAGACTTTTTATGGCAGGGATCGAACCAACGGATCCTGACTTAACCAGGCCTCGTAGTTTATTTAATACATATATAAAAAAATTATTAATTCAGAATGGTGTTTATAACCAAAGTGCAGAAGGCTTTTGGTTGATTGATGGTTGATTTGCCCACTCTGGATAAAGTTAGGAATGAACGAAGCGGAGAGAGTTGAGTTGAGTTAATGCGGCTGCTGGTCACCACCAGCACACTTAGGCCAAAAGGCCCATTGTAATACCGCTGAAACTCCAGCCTTCACCTTCTCAAATGATCGAACCATTTCGTGTGCCTTGTAAAGGCAACAAAATTTCCAATATTCGCTGAGGTTGGACGGTGGATGAGGTAGTGCTCGATGGTCTCTTCCTCTTCTTCGTCCCTAAAGCTACGGCAGAAATCGTAAGAGTAATAGCATATACTTTTCGCGTGATGCCCTATTAAATTCCGCCCTGGTCGGGAGCGTTGGTGTTTTCCTACTCGCATCTGTTCAGGATTTTCGTGGAGAAGGTGTAGTCCAGCTCCTTCGGCACTTCTGTAAGAGATAATATTATTGTAAGTCCTATGCTTGAGTTGAGTTGCATTCAATCTTATTGCGTTCCAACCCGCAGTAGACCTATACGGGAGATTCAAAGGAAAGAAGTTGAGAAGAGTTTGATGGCGTTCGAAGGAGTTGATGGTAATGATCCCGTTATCAGGATGGACGTCGAACGTTGAACCTTCTCTAATTTGCTCCTGAAGGTGATTTCATCGAGTGCTTGCCACCAAACGGGGACTCTGTAGAAAAGGATTGGTCACGATACTCGGTCTTAGATAAAACTCCACCTTGATAGGTGCCTCTTGTTGTGTGTCTTGTGACGCTGGCTCTGCTCATATCTAGGAAGATTATCGTGTTCCTCCGAAAAGACTCGAAAAGATTCACTATGGGATGTTGGAGGTTCATTTCAAGAGCCTCTATTACGAAGGCCGGAAAAATGTTGTTGAAAGTCCCCTCGATATCGCGGAAAATACCAAGTGTATACTCCTTCACGGCAAGTGCTGTTTCGATACGCCCGACGATATTATGTAGGGTTGTTTGAACAGACCCACCCCTGGAGTAAGAGGCTGTTTAGGGGTAGATTCTGGCGTATATAGCTTTCCAGGAGCCTTTCCAAGATTTTTAAGAAAAATGAGGTAAGACTGATTGGTTGAAAATCATTTGTATTGACATGGTTGGCTCTTCCTCCTTTTAAAATTACTGTGGCCCTTGTCCATTCTTACGGGATGTACCCTTCGCTTAGACAGGCTTTGTAAATTTTACAGAGAAATAGGGATAGGATATCCTTAGCCCTCTGTAGTTCAGCGGGAAATATTCTATCTAGTCCTGGAGATTTGTACTGTTGGAAAGACCCTTTTGCGGCAAACAATGTTGCGCCTACTTCCTCTTCGTTTGATTGGGTCGTGTCCTGAGGAGCATCCCGGAAAGTGGGTGCTCCATTGGGTGCACCATTTGGTTTCTGGATGTAATTTGGAATTGCGGAGCTCTTGGAGAGGACTTAAATAAAATAAATAGGACTCTACGGAATTAACTGGTTTTTTGTAAAGTTGAATTATTTTGGCTGTGGAATCGAAAAATTCAGTTGCCAGATGTCGCCCATGAACACAATCTTAATAACGCGCAATCCCTTCCCCTTTCATCACACCACCCACAAACGTCTTCTTCGCGACGATGACAAAATTTACAAAAATCAAAATTCAAGTTGGAATGTAGTTGAAAACACATACATTGAAAGCGACCAATGTGTATACGAAAATCACACACATGACCAAAAACTTGCCTATTCCCGACGATAGAAAAATTTGCAAAAATCAGAAATTCTAGTTGTGCTGAAGTAAAATACAAACACATTCAAGGGTACCTGCATGTATATGAAAGACCCATACATACACAAAAGTATGCCAACTTCTTTTCCCTCGCACACCGAAGGATTTAAACCCGGGCAGTTTGGACAAAAATCAATCAACGCAAACCATTATGCTGCTGATAACTTCGAATTTTCGTTGGCATAATTGGTATTTATTTAGATCGCTGATAACAGTATTGACAAAATCTCAAATATTATTCTAAAGAATGACTTGTGTGTATGACCATATTAAATTCGACATATGAACTATGAAGAACAAATAAAATTATATTTTCAGTCATTAATAGTGAAAACTCTATGATTTTTTTGTTAAAATAAAAATTTTTGCAACATATTTATTAATATTAAATTTTTTAAATGTGTTTATGGGTTTTTAATTTTTTTAATATTTAAAAAAAAAAATTCATAGTTTTAATTTTTTTTCTCCTTTGTTTGCACGAGTAAACATTGCTAGAGAGTATTTGGTTGAATTTAGTTCTATTTTTTTGTTTTGTGTCACACGTGTTGTGTTTCCGTTCAATTTTTTTGGTGAAATGTGGATCGAATTTTATATGGAAGGCGACTAAGAGATGAAACTGATATGGATTTGGATCCAGAAAGTGATGGAAGCACTAATCCATGGAATAGTGACGATGATTTTATTGTACATTATCGGAGGAGGAAAATACTGAATGTGAGTGGAGTATGCATACAGATGAAGAAGACATTGAGCCATTTGAACAAAATAACACCGAAGAAAATGCAGCAAATCCATAAAAACCAATAAAAAACCATTTGAATTCAGTCGTAGAAATATATTGTTTCAGGTAAAAACATACCCTTTTTTCGTTTTGATGTTCATTTTTATGCGTCATGTTCAAATCCTGATTGTTTGCTCCATTTTTGTTATGTATTCAAGTCCAAAAGCAATAGCAGCTGCTAATATTGTTGATGTTTCGTCTGCATTTCATATGTTTGTTAGACCAATTGTAAAAATTATTTTGAATATGACGAATTTATATGGTATACGAAAATACAAGAATGAATGGCAAGACATTGATATGAACACTCTGCATGCCTACTTTGGATTGTTGCTGCTTTCTGGTGTATATCGGACGTACGGTGCATGTTTGACTAAGCTTTGGAATGAAAAAACTGGTCGGCCAATATTTAGAGCTACAATGTACTTAAAAATGTTCAAGCTTATTCATGGTTGCATACGATTTGATGATCGAACGTATGTCCACTACTGCCTCTACTTCTGTTCGTGACAAATTGGCACCGATTCAAAATGTGTGCGATACATGAAACTATAACTTGAAAACAGTATTCACGCCACGTAAAAACGTTACCGTAGATTAGCAGTTACTTCCATTTCGTGGGCGATGACCGGCAAAAATTGCATAAAGATTTGGTTTTTATGCGACTCATCAAACTGGTATGCATTCAACAATACAATACTACTCCTGAACGCAATATCATACGGCATCTTGTCATGGATTTGGTGAACTGACTTTCTGATAGGAATGTTACATGCGACAACTTTTTCACATCATATGAATTGGCGGAGGAACTGAATAATAGGACTGAAATTCCTTATGTCTTATGGATATGCGTCGAAAGCCAATCCATTCAACTGAAATTGTGTATGAACACAAATTGCAAGCGGTTCTGTTGGCATATGTTTCTCGCCGTTACCGATTGTTGTAAGCATAAATGAACAGGATGAAAAGAAGAAACCGAACCTTATCGAAGACTACAACAAAACCAAGAGTGGCATGGGTACAATGGATGCAAACGAAAAATCAATCGCAGTATTTTGTAACATGCTCGATGTTAGTGCGTTGAATGCATTTGTTACGTTTACTTCATTGTTTCCGAACTGGAAAAAAATAAATCCAATCACAATATTCGTCATCGAGTTTTCATTGAGGAATTAGGAATGGCTCTTGTGAGACAACACATCACAAAACGTAAAAACCGATGCTGCTGCTATTTGCGATGAAATTCGCCCGATTTGTCATTTGCCAAATACTACGAAAAGAGGCCGTTGCTACATCTGCATATACTCGTACAAGAAGAATAAAAATGTTTTTACTACACGTTGTGACAAGTGTACCAATTTTGTTTGTGCTGATCATCGTTATAATGTTTGCGAAAATGTGCAAACAAATGAAAAATACCCAAAAAATTAATATTTTTCTATTTTTTATTAGTTTTTTCAAGTGAATCTTTGTCATTTTTTGTTCATTATGATGGAAAACAATCTAATAAATGCGGGCGCATACACAGGGACTGATTCGTTGTAGTTTTCAAGGGACTGATGAGGGTTAAATGTCCGCCTGTAAAGAAGGAATCACAATCATCGGGGTTTGCCTTCCCAATATAAAATCATAACTTCTGCGGCCAAGTTGGCAGGTAAACTAGATAATGCGGACATCAATGGAATGAAAGTTTTGCAGAATAAATACGCACACAATGAAGGATCAACGAATAAGGAAATATCGTACCAAAAAAAATTCTAAAAAATAATTAAAAATTAAATAAATTTTCCAAAAAACATGAATGCCAGTTAATAGCGGCGGATAAACGCATTCCATTTATGCTTTACAAATTTTATATTTTATGTTTATTTTATGTAATTAACAACATAAACAGACTTCACTATTAAATAGTACCTCACAGTGAAAATGAATGCAGTAACAAAAAAATTAATAAATTCATTTTTTGCGGTTGTAACGATGAAAATAGCTATGTATAGAGAAAATACATAGCTATTTTCATCTGATCTAAACAGGATGAATTTACTTTCATTCGCCATAATTACGGTGTTCCAGAAACTTTCATCTTTATATAAATGCTTCTTTGCAAACGTCAGCCTTGCACTTTGATTTTTAGCATTGACATATGGTTTATTTCGAGCTTCTCTGAAAATTCTTCGTTTGGTTTCTGGGCTACAGCTTTTTCCAAGATCTTTTAGCACTTCCTTACCTAAAGCTGGAGCACTTAAATGGGGGTTTTCGCATATTTTCCGTACAGTCTATCGATAATCACTTTCGTTAAATATTTTATGATTTGTCTCGATTTCACCATTTCCTCGATCTGACGCTGGCTTTTGCCAGCTTGTTTGGCGATTCATTTTGATCTACACTCAACCAATGTAAATACTATAATGTCAAAATTATGTCATATTACAGACACCGCCGATAAAGATAAATCTTTGTGCATCATTTTCGCTGTGAGGTACTATTTAATACTGTTGTTTGTTTTTGTTGTTAATTACATAAAATAAACATGAAATATAAAATTTTTAAAGCATCAATGAAATGTGGATAGCTGCGGCTATTAAATGCTATTCATGTTTTTTGGAAAACTTATTTAATTTTTAAATCAAACTTATTATACTATTTCTTACACAGCTGCATCACTTTGGTTGTGAGCTACTGTATATATTCAATATGCGCATATGACAAAATACATATGAATGTACTTGTATACTTACTACAATAACATTTGTACTATAAAATCCCTTCTGGTTATGGTATAAATGCTTGCAATTGAGACCGGGCGATCTAATTCGCACATATGTATGTACCGTCGATCCATCCGCGCTGCTTTTTTTCTTTCTGATTTCTTACAAAACGCACCCATTTGTTGCAAAGTGGCAACGCCTAGCTAGCCAAGGGTTGTTAGTGGGTTTACAAGTAAAACAGAAGCATATAAAAAGTGTAACTTTAAGTGTTTATAACTATTTCACTACAAATTTGTGCGCGATAAAATTATAATTTTTGGTAATTGTAGACCTGCTACTATTAATCCTGAACATTTCATAAAAAACCACAGGCTCCAAACTAAAGTCAACCCGGATGGATTTGATGTTTAGTCGAATGTAAAAGTATATATAAGAAATAGATAAATAAAAGCTGTGTCTTCCTTTATACACATAAAATGGTTTTATTTCAGAAATATTAAAAAGCGCGAAGGGAACGAAAAATCGCGAGTACAAAATAAAGAGGAATAGAGAAAAGCCGTTTGATACCAAACAAGGTTTCAGCCAGAACGATTCCTTATCTTGTGATTTCTTTAAAATAAAATTATAAGAGCTGAACAGAGAAGGAAAAGAGAGTCCAGCTGCTGGCGTACCCCGACGATATTAACATTATCGGCCTCAACAAACGTGCCGTGAATTCTGCTTTCTCCTGACTGGATAAAGCGAAGGATATTGGTCTGGTAATGAACGAGGTCAAAACGAAATATGCCTGTCATCAAACAAACAGTCATCGCATTCACAACTTGGCTCAAACGTTATTGCTGACAGTATAAAGTTCGAGGTCATAGATAATTTCGTCTATCGAGGGACTAGCATCCACACCAATAATAATGTTAGTCTTAATATCCAGCCCAGAATCACTCTTGCCGGCAGGTACTACTTTGGACTGAGTTGGCACTTGAAAAGTAAAGTCCACTCTCGACGAACGAAAGCCAAACTCTACCAGTCGCTTGTCACTTCCATCCTGCTTTATGGTGCGGAGGCATGGGCGATGACTACATCTGATGAGTCGGCGTTAAGAGTTTTCGAGAAAAATGTTTTCCGTAAGATTTATGATCCTTTGCGAGTTGGGAACGTCGAATACCGCAACCG